GGGCTGCGGCGCTCGCGGGGCTGCGGCGCGCGCTCCCTCCCGCGGGCCGTCCCGCCGCCCTCCGCGCCGTCCTTCCAGCGCCTCTTCTTCCTAAACCACACCTTGACCTCTCCCTCTCGGGTTCCTGTCGCCACCGGTCAGTGATTCCTGGAAGGAGATTCGCGTGGAAGTTCATGGCAGTAGTTGGCGTCCGGGTTCCTTGAGCTGAGAAAACCGTGAGACGAACAGAAATACTCAAAAGCCGGACTCGATGGGCAATTTTCCTGCTCGACTCTAGACTCTCTTTGATTTGTCCTCTTGATTAAAAAAAATAAATGAAAATAGAAGACTTGTCTTACGCTGCTCTTTTTGAGAAGCAACGACTCACCTTTCCCGGGCCCCGATCCAACACACATAGGATAGACACTGTGCAATTTTCAGGATTAATAGCTATTTGTTCACTAGTTGAAAGGAAGTTATTAACATGTTTTTCCTTTTTTTAAAAAAAATCTGATGACCTCACAAGGTCATTTGGGGAAACGAAAGAGCCTCTCCTTTCATTTTACGACGCTGAAGAAAGAGGTACACATCATCCTATTTCCTTTTTAGCACCTTTCCAATAGTTTAATTACTAATTAAAGCTTTCATTGACTTTAAAATATTTATTGTTATCCCTTTGAACTGTATGCTCTTTGCACAGAGCCCTTGTTTGTATCATTCACAGCACTCCTAGTAGAAACTCAAATTGGTTGAATGAGTTAATGAATTGGAAAGCTAAGAAATGAACATTTTGACATGAGAATAGTGCCTTATGAGATAGATTAAATCTTCATACAAAGCCAAAAACAAAGACCATTAAGACTTGGAAATCCTACCTGTTAGGGGTCAACTCTGCATAGGAACCAGATCAGCCAGATAGAAATTTGAATAGAGCCTTTTATTTACTGAGCTCAGGTCCATCAGCCACTTCTCTCGCAGGAGAAGGCTGACTGGCCAAGGGGGTATTTATAACAGAAATCACATCTAGTTTGGTAAGCAAATTTGTTATCTAGTACACTACCCTCTCATTTACAGTATAGAAAATGCATTCCAGAGGAGAAATCTGCCCAATTTCATGAAAATGACTCCCCATGACTTTACCTGGCACAACTGACAATTTTGAGTAGCTGTGCCCTATCTCAATAAACGCAATCTTTTGTCAGTTACTGAGGCCTAATACCCATCTGTGCAGAATAGCAAAAAAGTCAGGACAAAAACTAGCTTTTCAACATACTGAATCCAACAGTAGAAAAATGCTTAGTAACCTTAACTTTCTTTTTTCAGTCCTGGGTATTGAACCCAGGGCCTTTGTACCAAGCTGGATTCCCACCCAATTTTATTTTTTGAGACAGGTTCTTATTAAGCAGTTAAATTCACAAGTATGGGCTTGAATTTACCAGCATTCTGTCTCAACCTTCCAGATCGGTGGGATGACAGGCATGCAAGTCATCATGCCTGGCTCAGTAATCTCAGTAACCTTTGTACTTCGTGAAAAACCTTACCATCCCTTCAAAAAAATAAATAAATAAAATAAACAAAAACACAAATGTGCCTTTGTGCCGGAACTGCCATCTTCCAGTAATTTGCCAAAATGACTAACACAAAGGGCAAGAGGCGGGGAACCCAGTATATGTTTTCCAGGCCTTTTAGAAAACATGGGGTTGTTCCTTTGGCCACATACATGCGAATCTACAAAAAGGGCGATATTTTAGACATCAGGGGAATGGGTACTGTGCAAAAAGGAATGCCTCACAAATGTTACCATGGCAAGATGGGAAGAGTCTACAACGTTACCCAGCATGCTGTTGGCATTGTTGTAAACAAGCAAGTTAAGGGCAAGATACTTGCCAAGAGGATTACTGTGCGTATTGAGCATATTAAACACTCAAAAAGTCGTGATAGCCTCCTGAAACGTGTCAAGGAAAATGATTAGAAAAAGAAGGAAGGCAAAGAGAAAGGTACCTGGGTTCAACTGAAGCACCAGCCTGCTCCTCCCAGAGAAGTGCACTTTGTGAGGACCAATGGAAAGGAACCCGAGTTGTTGGAACCCATTCCCTATGAATTTATGGCATAAACTGGCGATGTTGCTCTGCCATTCAGTACCTAATTGGCAGCTTAAGTGTTCTACGTCCTATGTAAAAATAAAATCATCCTGTGTTGTAAGGGTGGTTTTCTTAGTTGAACAGGTATGTGGTGCCTTCTTACCTCAGAAATATTTGCAGCAGATTTTCACCGTACCCAGTAATTGTGTCTAGCCTTTACTCTTCAGTATTTTCTTCTGAAAGATATTGCTAAGGTATTGTGCAGGTATATACCCAAAAATTCAAATATTTATAAAGTATTTATATTGCCTTGAAGATCCTGTAAATCATCATGGGGAAAAGATGTATCAAAATAAATGGAAGTCACTTCAGAAACAAAGTTAAGTCCATTTTAGTTAAATAAATCGTTTAAAGCACCAAAAAAAAAAAAAAAAAAAAAAAAAAAAAAAAAAAAAAAAAAAAAAAACACAACCCACAAATGTTTGGGATGGCGAGATAGCTAAGTAGACTAAAGTGCCTGCTTAGGCAAGTTTAGGGTCCACCGTTAGATCCCCAGCACCACGTGCAGTGTCAGCCCCGCCTCCAGGGTGGGCTGTGCTGGCCAGAGTCCACGTGTAGTGTCATACACCTGTAATCCCAGCACTAGTATCATGGTTTGTGTGTATTTGTCCCCCCAAAGCCTCATGAAATCAAGGGACAGACTTCTAGAGTTTGTGATTAACTCATGATCCACTGGGATTATGGCTGTGAGTGCTGCTGGGATTATGGGTGCAAGTACTACTCCCAGCCTGGGGCAGATAGCCTGAATGCCACTTGAGGGAGACAGACTTGTTCTCTGCAGCCATTGTTGCTGCTACTCTTCCCATTTCTCTTGCTGTTTTACTGATTCCACCACCATGAACTCCTACCCTCAGCCACTCTGCCTTGGAGCCAGTTTTGTATTTGACTGAAACCTCCACAAACTGTGAGCTAAATAAAACTTTTGAGTGTCGGGTATTTGTCCCAGCAATGAGAAAAGAGTAACTAAGACATCTGGGGAGGCTGAAAGCAGGAGAATTACCATGAGTCTGAGCTGCTTAGTGAGACCCTGCAACAACCAAATATATTTTTTAAAAAATATGTGCATGGTCACTTCCTGGTCGTTTGTCACTGAGACTTTAATATGCACAAACGTTCCTGAGTGCATGACTGCTAAGCACTATAAATTATAGTGGTTATGATGATGATGAGTACAAATTTATTGCTATAATTATCTGGGTAGGGAATCAAATTGTTACAAACTTACCATACCTGTGCCTCGGTAAAGCAGAGTGGTTAGGCTTTGAGCTTTGGCGTTAAACATAACAGGATAGGGATCCACTCTTGTCTGTTCCTTTTATTTTTAGTTCAACATTTGTCTCATGCCCCGCAGATCTTCATTTTTTTTTTATTTTTAGCACCAGGGATTGAACTCAGGACCTTGTGCTTGCCAGGCAGGCATTTAGGCAGCTGAGACACAATCTTCAGGTAGGCATCATGGATGTCTATTGTTTCTGCCTTTGATTTTCAGAAGCCTCTAAATGTTCTCTTGCAAGGACTATTGGATCATTTATATGTGTCTATAACTTTGGGTAAATGGCTGAGTCTCTTGGAGCCTTATTTTCTGTATACAAAACTTGGAGATGATAAACCTTTCTCTGAGAGCTATTTTAAGGGTTAAATGAGAGACACACAGTGAACACTTGCTAAATGTTAGTGAGGAATGTAAAGCATTGTGTGCATGCATTTGGTAGTGTGGTTCCTGAGAACTCCATGTATCCATAATTAAAATGCCACTACACCCACAGAAACAGAAATGAGTAAACTTCATTCAAAGTACTCATAATCATTTTTAGGACTTAATAAAGATCAAGGGCTTCGGTAAGCACAGTTCTTGGTCATTTCGGCCTTGGGGGGCAGCAAGGTTTGGAAAATAGGAACCAAAATCTCACAGTGTCCAAGTTATGAGCCTTAGGATAAATCTTAGGCTTTCAGTATCTTAATTTATTCTTTTTAAAAATGTTGACAATACTCTCTACACTACTTGGTAAATGATTAGTAATCAACAAATACTCAAGAATGGTGAAAGAATACAGTGCGTGAAAAATGCCATCCAAGTACATTGTTTACATGTTAAATTTTATTGCCAGATATTCATAGTAATGACAACACACTGATATACAACTTTACAAGAGCTCTATACAATGCCTTGCTGTGACAAAATACCCGACACCCAAAGTTAAAGAAAGAAAGGTCTATTTAGCTCACTGTTTGCAGAGGCTTCCATACATAATTGGCTCCATCCAAGACGGTAGTGTGGCAGACAGGCACTGGAGAGGAGAAACACTTCATGGTGGGTAGAAGGTAGCAAAACAAGAAGAGACAACCACAGTTCTTTCTATCCTTTATATCTTACCCAGGCTACCTAAGGAAGGTTGGACTCACATACATAACCCTGGTGTCATGAATCAATCCCAGCATCACACACTCTTAATCCAGCCAACCATGAAAAATCCCACCTAGGACTGCATGAAGCTTTGAGGGAATGTCTAGACACAATCTATAATACACATGATCTCATTTGATACCAAAAAAAAATTTTTTTTTTCTCTCTGAGGATGGGGAGAGGGGGATTTACTACAGGAAACTACATGAGATTATAATTTCCCTTAGTTTGGGTGTTCGA